CTTATAAGTTATAACATTTGTAATAAAAACTTCTTAAATAGAAAGATATAGGAAAATGATAACGAGTTTGTTAAACATACACTTAAAGTTATAAACCATATTTCATTATTGAAAATTCATTTGTGTTTTTCAAACGGGAATACACATAGGAGGGTAGTTATCTTCTCTAATAAATGAGAGTTTTTTTTGTTACTTGCCTCATTCTCATTCAAATTGACAAATGTCATTTTGTGGTTATTTTGAATTAATTTTTTCCACATGTTATTTTATGAGTTTTTTTATTTTATTAAATATCATATAATATTTTAATGTAATAATTGTAATAAATATAGTAATAAATTGATATCAATTTCATCAATGAATTTACCTTTTAATTTCAAAATTCTCAAAATTAAAGTTCATTAGTTTCTTTTATTTATTTAAATTATTTGATTAAATTTAAAAGATACAAAAATATTTCCATTATAATAATTCATTATTTAACTTTTTTTTTTAAATTAACTCATGTAATATATGAGTCTCTCACAACTAGTTAGTTAATATAATAATTGCATGGATATTAGTATACTACCCAAATCATCCGGACTTTTTTTTTGTAAATACATATCTGTGAGATTTTTTTTTTGTTGTGTGTGTGTGTCAAAAATAACTAAATTAAATTTAAATTGTTGCTAACTCGTGATAATTGTTCGCAATCATCGTGATCATTTGTTGATATTTTAAATGTTAATGTTGATATTTTCTAAAAAGAAAGTTGATGGATTATATATGATAGGGTAAATTACACAAATCGTCCCTCGTGCATATGCCAGAAAGCGTGTTTAGTCCCTATTTTCAAAAATTAACTCGGATTGTCCCTCGTTTCTTTTAGACTTGCACGCTTCATCCCTATTGACATAAAATGACTATTTTGCCCTTAATAATTTCTTTTTTTTCATTTTCTTTTATTTATATATAATTTTTTTATTAAAAAATAAGAATAAACAAAAAAATACGCCCACCCTTCCCCCTTCCATTTCTTCCTCGATCTGAAGGTCGAATAAAACATATAATTTCTTCTACCTTCGTCTCCTTCTTTCTCACTCGATCCCTACGCCAACGAAAACCCTATCACTGCCACCTTCACCAACTCTGCCATCATCACTATCATCTCTAAACCTTAAAACCTGCAACAAGATTCGACTATGGCCACCATATTCTCCATATATTACCTACCCTACGAAGAATCCATCGAAACAAAATCGATCGGGACATCCATAATGGTGATTTTTCCAGATTTGTCAATGTCGTACATGTCGGGGTTGCTCTCTTCATAGAGCTTGAACAAAAGAATATACCCAACTGACCATAGCTTTATTTGATTTGCCAAATTGCTTGACAGGAAATTGAGTTTCGAGAATTCGTATGTACCAAGCCGTAATTTATTCTCGATATCATGTGATGAACCATCATAGTTCTTTAACAGGAGAGGGAAATCCATGGTGGTGATTTTTCTAGATTTGGTAAATTCATATCTGCTTGAGGGTTGAAATAATACAAGTGTGTGTTTCCAGAAGAATCCATCGAAACCAAATCAAACCAAATCAACCAGAAACACAAAATCAAAATCGATTTAGGAAGGATGGAGAAGGGGAAACGAAGAAATGGGGATAAGCTGCTCGATGAAACAATTGGGAAGGGCATCTTTCGGAGACTAAACCTTCACCCATTTCCTCCGATCTCCTCTTTGCCTCTCATCGGAAACATAAATTTGTGATGGGGTGTTCTTGGTGTTGCTAGAAGGGTGTTCATCAGATGGAGTGTGGAGGTGGGAAAAGATGATCTAGACAACAGAACCTTCCTCCTTCCCATCGACCCGATCGTCGGAAACTACCTCCATATATGTCGGAAATTGTTGAACTGAACGTTGCCGGAATGTTGGAGGCTGAGGGTTTGATGGCTCGTCAGAATCCTAGAATGTGAGGGTGAGGTTTAATGAGAGAAAAGATAAATAAGGGGAAGGACCGTTATTTTTTTTCTTCTAAATATAATTTATAATTTATAATACTAAATAAATCAAAAATAAATAAATAAAGGGCATTATGGTCATTTCAGATCTAGTATGGACTAGATTTGCAACAAAATCACGTATCAGGGACGGAGTGTGCAACTTTTAAATAAACGAGGGACGACCCGAGTTAATTTTTAAAAATAGGGACTAAACACGCTTTCTGACATGTGTACGAGGGACGATTGGTGTAATTTACCCTATATGATACTTAAATATGGTTATTTTAGTGAAAAACTATTAATTACACGATATTGATTCAATATTGTGTTAAGTATATGTATTTTTGCAAGTAAAATTTTACTTTGTAAATTCTTTTAGGTGCACTTATGCTTCAGATTCAATTAAAAGTGTTTTTATTTTAATTTTAATAAAACAAAACAAATGTATTTACAATAGATAATATATATCGTAAAATAAATAAAAGAAAATAAATTTAAAACTTTAAAGAATAATTGGAGATATGATATATGATATGGTAAAAGAACATATAATTAAAAGTGGTGCATATTGGGCGACTTTGGTAACTGAGCCATCATTGAAGAGCCTTATCATACCCTGTTGGAGATCCCTTTATAGAGACCGACCCACACACAAAATAGGAAGGAAATTCAAGAACGAGTTTCAAACTAATACTACACTACAATACCATTTGTGTGATAACCGATAAGCTAGCAAACGTTGAATCTTGTACAGAAGAAATCAGCATCAACTCTGAGTCTCTGAAGATCTCCAGCTTTGATGCCCAGATAAACCATTGATCTGCTGCCCAATTGAATCAGGAAGAAACAGCTTTGGATATCAAGGGGACTCCATGATGGGTGGCAAGCAATAGTTCATTCATTCGGGCGATCTGATGCAGTAATTGATTTATTTTCTGGAAAACCGAAGAGTTAAATCGTTAAGATTTGGAAGAATTTTGGTTAAATTCAGATGCAATGATGCAGTGAGATCTTGATAGTTCTCTTCGGCATTTTAACAAACACCTGGTGACACAAAATTAAGAAGTCTATGGGATGCAGAAGATACAAAAAGACGAACCTCATCTTTCTCCTTAATAACACTGATCAATTGAATGATACTCTCTTGCCTCAACCTTCGCCGGCGCCGGGACCTCAAATAAAGTAGCAACAGCAACACTATTGAACCCGCCAGCGGGAAGTGTGACCGAAGTAACCCTCCTCTGCTCGTAGAAAAACTTCGAAGGAACGAGAGGACGCTGGCAAACTTGAAACGTAAAACCTGCAGTCCACCATCCCACCACCTTACTCCGACGGATTCCCCCATCGCCGCTGGTCTCGAGATAGGGGACGGTGATCTGGTTCGTTCGATATCGATTTCTCGTACATCTTGGTGATGGTGAAGGTGAAGGTGAATGCCTTCGTGGTTCACTGGAGGGAATACGACGGGTGGTTGGTTGTCTTCATGTATCGTTGACCATACTTCTCTACCTCCAAGTGGATCTGATAAAGACGGAGATTGAGACTGAGAATGAAATTGAAATTGATCGGAAATCGGACGCAATTGGAGTCGTTCCCATTCAATTAAAGCAGCAGGAGGCCCAAATACGGTGCTTTCTACATCTTCATCTTCGTCAGCCATTTGTGTGCTGAGGACAGTTTGCTTCATCCTTGACAAGTTTCCAACCAGGCAACGATGATGAAATGTGTTGCGCAAATAGACGATGTTTCATTAATGGTCCCTATACTATTGCTAAATATCTGAATCAGTCCTTAAAGGCTTAAACTTCAATGTGAATAATATTTATTTCCAAACATTATAATCTTTAACCAAAAAGTCAAATTCTAAAATTTACTCCGATTAATTAGTTTCAAATACAATTTTATTTAATATAACTAATTGTTTTTAGAGGATCTTCAATAAGGGTTGTATGGGGTTTTATGAATTTTGTATACATTAGAGAATGATGATGTGGAGTGGAGGGGGTATTATGAATTTTGTATATATTAGAGAATGATGTGGAGTGGAGTGAGGTGGGGTGATATGAGAATTGTATGTATTAATAGGTGTAAAATGAAAGTTGCAACTGAAATGGTGAGGATGGAGTGGTAATATACACCTAATACAAAATTAATAATATAGAATCAATTGTATTTGTAATGAAAGAGTTCACATAAATGGCGTTAATATGGATGATGTGCCAATTAATGTAATAGATTGTAAACACTATATTGTCGTTGCAAATGGGTATATGTCAATAGAGATATCTTAAAACATTCAGAGTGTCGATGTTCTTGAACAAACCAAGTATATTGGTAGCTCGACCCATCCAATGAGGCTGCATGCAAAACCCAAAATTAGGGCTAGAATTAAAAAGTAGAATCCTCTCTAAGGATTCAATGAAGTCCACAATGTGCGCACCACAACTAGATTCCCACAGCAGCAGAGCACCAACATGATTTTTGGGAGCTTTGTAAAAGATTCAGTGGGTAAAAAGACATGGTTAAAGGAAAACTCTATACTGCAATTTTGGCCCCTCACCAAGGAAAGATGGAAATGCCTTCTTATAAGGGGCACAATGGTGGAAAAACAAAAGCCATTTGACTGCTGTTATAAATAGGGACCAAATCCACAATGCAACTTTGAGATAAGGACCATTTTTGTAAATTGGAACTATTTTGTACTCTAGTCAAAGAAAAGTACAAACACATGGACCATTTTTGCATTTTTCTTAAATAAGATATTAGAGACTTCTAATAACAAAATTAAGTGATTTGATACAAACACAGCTATTATACTTGCCCCTTACTAACAAAAAATATCATAAGGTAGATACAGTCAACTCCACATATAAAATTACCTCGCATAAAAATGTCAAACATAAAGGATACCTCCAATAAGCAATTTATTGGAAAGTACGTATAGAATTAACCAAATAAAACTGTTGTATATACTATAAAAGGGTCACCATTTTTCATTAAAGGTAGCTGATAAACATAATCAAATTTATTATAATCGGCAACTCAAATAAGAAAGACATCAACATTTGTGAAAAAAAATATTGTATGTTTACCACCGTATAATATAGGATTCAGCCTGTTCTTTACAACATAAACTTAAAAATGAATAAAAAAACAAAAATGATTCTGCATTTTTCTTTACCGTTTGTGTGTGTATTGTTTGATCACCTTGGAACCTCTCTATATCATGAGGAATAAAGAATTTTGAATTGGCTATATATTAAAAAAAAAAAAAAAAAAAAAAAACTATACTTCATGAATTAAATGAATGTAATTATGTCTCTTCTGCTGCTGCTTTCATGTAAAAATATCCTCTTCTTAACCTCTGCAAACCAATAATTCTTAATTAGTTGCAATAAACAAATTGATAAGAGGTTAGTTTAGTATTAGTACCTCTTTTGTATCTCTAAGGCGAAGCAGAGACAACCTTTCAAGTGGTCTCTGATTTGTTAGGGTAGCAAGCTGCAATAATAAAATTGTTCGTTAAATTAAAAACATATTTTTTTAATAAACTAAAAGCAAAAAGATGTCATTATGCATAAAAATCATACCCAAAAACTGAAGGATTCAGGATCACTTGTTGAAGGCATCAAACCCTCTGCTCTATGCAGTTCCGTGAGTCTTGCTTGGTCTGTATCATGGGGACAAGACTTAATCTTGTAAGCTATATATCAGTGTTTCTTTTTTACTTAATACAAAAAGAACATTAAGTCCTAACTTTTTTCCTTCTATTTTCCAAAGTGTAGTCATTTTCCAAATATTTTTTTAAATATCATTTATTTAGACGCTACAAAAAAAATATAAAAAAATCTGTATGGAATAATTACCTCTTCGGCCTGCCTCTTGAGCCACTCTTATCCATGATCTAGCATATGCTGCTACTTTATTTGTTGTTTGCTGCAACTGTCCGCATTGCCAATTCATTAGAATTAAATAGTATTTTCAACTAATTATCAATGATGAAATACTTTTTTTTTTTTAAATCAGAAAAGAAACAAGAAGCAACTGAAAATTGAAGAATGGCATTGTTTTCATCAATAACTAATTATGAACATAATAATAAATACTTACATCATATTTCTCTCTTGTTCCTTCAGCTGGAAATAAATCTTGCACCCACTCAACTTCTGCAACACGGTACCTTCATACACAAAAAACAAAAACCCAAATCTTAAAAAATTAATTATTTGAAAAAGTCAAATGGTCAACAAGAGCAATCATGATACTCACCCATCTTGATCCCAGTTTCGAAGAATGCGAAATCTTCTTCGACTCTCAACCTGCATGCATTTTGAAATGTTAAAATGAGTATAATTAACCAAAAAAACTGTAACTATACATAACATGAATTTGATAAAAAAAAAAAAAAAAAGGAGGTAATTCATTTTTATAATCTAACTATTTACCTCCAGGAAAAAACGCCCATCAGGAAGAGGCTCACAACTACATGAAAAGAAAAGGGTGATTAAATTTATATAAATTATTAGCAGGTTAACATAGACAAACTTGTGGATGACATCTACACTTACTCTGTGATTTCCACTTCACAAGCATAATCAGCTACAGATCCTGTTGTGGGGTCCAGTATAACCTACACACGACACCCAAGTACAGTGAGTCAGTTTCTTTACCAATCTACATTATTCAAAGGGGTAGAAATGGAACATTATTATATCTACCATTCCCATTCTACGGTTTCCTTCCATAATCCTCCTCACCTGTTAGTTACCACAAAAGTTCAAATTACATAGGACACGACAAAACAAAACATGTTGTACAGCTGTATTTTGATTTTTGAATGCATTGGATTTAGAGTGATGATAATAGGACAAAAATATAGAATCTGTTAAAACTCACCATAAGTCTGTAACGAGCTTCAAAAATGTTTAGGTGTAACTTCTGACAAGGCAACACAACATCCATGACAAAAAGAGGCATCAAATCAGGACCCATGTTTGTCAAACTCTCATGCTCCAACTTCCTTTCTGCAAATTCCTGTGGGAAGTTCCTCTCTATTATGCTATTCAGTGTCACACTGAAAAAACCAACAACCAATTCACTTTATTAAATCAATCAATGTAACTAATATAAAACCATTAATGAACTTACTATTAAACAAAGAAACATACTCACCTTATTGCACATGTTCTAGGACTAATAAACAAAACTGTTCTGCACAAAGGACATCTGTTACCTAATTAAGGGACCAAAAAAGTATTAGTGACTCAAAATAAGGATATAAATATGGAAAAGAACAGAAAGAATACAAACCTCGGTCCATTGATTGGAAGAGGCAAGATCGACAGAAAGTGTGTCCACATGGAGTTGTAATTGGTTCATATAGTAATTTCAAGCAAAGCATGCAATCAAAATCATCTGTACGTGCTGGTCTCCCATGGAGTCTCCTCCCAAGTATATTGGTTGCTATTCTTTCTAAATTTCTTAGAGCATTGCTGTGTAACAAATTTTAACAAAGTGAAAAAAAGAATAGAAGAAGTAAAAGTTCAAAAGAATGTAAAACAGGTATGGTACTATATTATTACCTTGAAGCATCAACCTGAAGACCAGAATGAATTGCATCACGAGCTAGCTCGAATCTCTCTAACTGCCATCAACTTATTATATTTCAATTTTGATCTAATTTTGGTAGGAGTTGGGTAAACGGTGATTAAAAGTAAAGAAAGGGGTCTCACTAAAATGAGTGCATTTGCCTTCAATATGTATGGAGTTGCAGATTGGCTTCGCAAGTTGATAAGGTGATCAGCATCTTTCAATGCAAGCTAAAAATTGAAGTTGAGATATGAAAAGGTGTCCCTCAAGATTTATTAATTTAGAAAGCAACAAAAGGATGAGCTCGATCATACAAAATAAACAAAGATCACGTACGCCAGCATGGATTGTAGGATCAAGCCCGCTCAATGGTCTATGTTCAGATGTAGAAGGTGGCCTGTTTTTCAGGAACTGACTAATCCTGGATGGAATTCCACAAAAGATATAAATTGTTCATGTTTTCAGAAACTTCACACAAAAGTTTTATTCAAGTAATTGAATAGTAAACAGTGATACTGAGAAATTTACCTGAGATAAGCAGCGCATCGGTTGTTAAGAACGACAGGATCAGCTGGTTGAATATTATGCGCTCTTGAGTAACAATTGACAGCCTGATTGACATAAATTATGTTGGGAAAGAAGAAGAAGAAGAAAGAATGCAAACACTTTGAGAAAAGTAACGATTCCAATTATTTACCTCCTCAAAACGTTTCTCTCTGAATGCTTTGTTGCCCATATCCATGAGATCATACAGATGACTAAACCGCCCTAATGACACGGATGCCGACTCTCCTTGATTCCCCTGCATTATTCCCAACAAGGCAACAACACGATGTTTTATTTCAACAAGTAATATGTAAAACCTCAATCTTCGCAGTAACCAATTTGCTTTTGGATTTGGTACTTATCATTTATCAAATGCAATAACTGTTCGAAGCTTGTTACCAATTAACATCAACATATTCCTATGAATCTGATCAGAATTAGTTGTTTTTTCACAAAGTAAACTCAAAATTCATATTGATTATCAAGTTGACATCGAAACTGAAATTGTTGCCGGCTCGTGCCATATTGAACTCATCGTATGCCAAAATTAGTGACAATTACAACATTTCTTCTGCGATTAATCATAATCTAGGTAATAACCAGAGCAATAAACTCAAATACTTCCAAAAAAGAATGAAACTCACCCAAACGAAATCCTCGACATCGTTAATCCCTTCCAAGCTCAATCCAGACGACGATGATGATTCTTCTCCGGTAGCCATTCGGAAACAAAGCAAATTCGAAAGAGATTTTAACAATATTTGCTTGGCGGATCAAAAGAGAAAAGTAGAGACTGCAACAGTGTTACTAAGAGGTGACGAGACGGTGGTGAAAAAGAGTATCGTGTTCTTCAGTGCGTCCTTATTCCATACACGGACCATATTCATCTACGTGTTCTCTCTGACTACACTTGTTGTATGAATATCTTATACACGCACTTACTGTGTATGTACAAATGTCAAAGCACAGGGTACAATTGAACGTTTCAGAAATCAGAAGTTACCCTTCAATCCCAGTTTTAGAGCTTTCGTTCTCAGAAAGTTCGATTCGGCGGAAAGAAAAAAGTACGAAATTTACGGTGACGAGCAGAGTATTTATTATGTGTGGTATGGTGTACCGTAGTTAATCTGTGCATAGCTGGTTTTGTCTCATCGGATGGATACTGATGCCGATATGTAGGTATTTGACTTTGGTGAGTACTACATTCGGTCACTTTAATCGGCTTTGATTTTATATGCTTTGTTTTAATTAGTTATTAACATGTTTGCATTTTTTATAATCAAATAATTATAGAGAAACTAAATATCCTATTGAAATCCTGTTCAAACCGGTGCGTCAAACATGTTAACTAGAAACCGGGAAATGAAGCAGTTTAACTATTACTAATTTTATATTTATTTTTGAATCGGAACACACCTGCTGATTTTTACAAAATCCTCGTGGAACCGATCAAATTAAACCGTTAAAACTCGGTTGAATATGTTAAATTGAATAAATACGCATAGCAATGAGACATTTTGCATAACAAACTTTGACTTGTGGACACCAAATTCTTGGTTATATAAAATAGAAATAAAACATGAAAGTTATGAAAACCAGGTTGACTGACGGTTGAACCGGTTGAACTGTGAACCGGTCATTGACCGGTTCAACTAAAAAACCGGTTTTTAAAATGTTGGTTCCAACTCATCTTATTGCTCATATAAAATAGGGAAAATGACATATATGCCCTATTATGTTTCTAGGGTTTACCCATTTAGCCACTTAACTTATTTTGTGGCTTTATAAGGGAACGAATTACACTTTGTCGGGTCGATTAGGTCCTTTTGGGCAAAATGAAGGGGTTATCCGGTTACCCCTTTGCCACATCAGATGTTTGTTGACCAATTATTCCTTAACCCAGTACTATTCATCTTCTTCCCCATCTGATATTCCTACCTGATACACATTCATATATCTAGTTTGATAAATAGTACCCGATAAACCTTTATCTAACAATGAGTTGAAATGTTATGTCCACTTGCTACTTTGGTATTTGGGTTTTCCATGTTTGAAATCGTTTGTATTCCATTTAAGCAAAACATTCCTTTTCTTCTCTTCTTCAAAAATATGGAATTGAAACTCGTAATAAGGCTTCGCTAGGGTTCCTCTTTTCCTCGACGGGAGGGTGTTTTCTATAATCGAGAAACAACTGGAATCGAATGGCGGTGGTAGAAATAACAAAAATCAGGGGAATATGCAAGTTTTTCGAATGTGTGTTTTGAATCCGAAAGAACCTGATAATGAAGATACCAAATAACAGCAAATGACAACAAATAGCAGCACGATGTGTGTTTTCAACCGATTGCATCAAACACGATACAGACCATCTCATCGGCGGATCCCACCATCATTGTCGTCACCGGCAGAGCTTTGGTCCTCACCTATCTCCTACTGTCGCCTGTCTTCTCCGCCCTATCTTTCAACTTTCGTGGATACAAAGATAAATTAAAACCCTATATATGATCAAAATTGCTGCTACTCACGAAACGATTCTGATTTGGAATCATACTTTCCAATCCAGGTGATCTCACTGTTGCTCAAGTTCTTGATCTTGTATCTTCACAGAACTACACTTTGATTGATATCCGATCGGAAAAGGACAAGGGTAAATCTGGTGTTCCCTGTCTTCCTTCTAGCACCAAGAACAAAATGATTGCCATTCCGTAAGTACCAATTTCTTCCAAAAATAAAACCGGTTGTGGACTCATTTCGCAATTCAAAACTTTCAGATTGAAAGAACTCCCAAGCAAATTGAAATAGAAGTCGACGTCGTTTGGGTTTTGGGTTGTTGGGACGCTTATGTGGCAATGGAAACTGGCTACAATAGGTTAAAGGGATTAGATTGCTAGGTTACAAATAATTTGTTCCCTCATAAAGCCACAAAATAAGTTAAGTGGCTAAATGGGTAAACCCTAGAAACATAATAGGGCATATATGTCATTTTCCCTATAAAATAATGACATATGAAATTCATTAATTCTTTCTCTTAATCCATCTTTTGATTTTGACATTTGTTTTGATATGATGAGTACAAATATGAATATGAACAAAATGTAGGAATATATTTAGGAATATATTTGATTTCTCATCAAATAAAGTTACATTTTAACTATGTTAAGTTGAAAAGATGGTTTTTATTTATAAGTTAATTTATCAACAAATTATGTCAAATGATTTATTAAAAAGTTAGTTTAATTATAATTTATTATAGAGCTAATATTTATTTAAAATAACTCCAAGATCACGGATCTAAGCCATATATTTATATGTTACAAGATGAGTTATTTATGGTTAGACATGTAACACGGTATTAAGAACATGCAAAAAATAATCATATGATGAATTTTTTTTTTCAAAAGTTAAAGCTTTTTTATGAGTTGGGAAAACATAGGGACGTCCTATGAACCAATCCAAGATTTTAGGGGTATGAAAGGGAGCCGTCTAGAAATTAGATTCGATGAAAACGGCGCACCGATAAAATTTAAGCAAACCACAACAAACAAACAAGAGTTTTTTACAAAAACATAGTAGTTTTCAAAAGTATTTATCAAAAAAGGGTAGTTTAAAACTTATTTACAAAATAATTGTAGTTTTATTTAAAAAAAAAAAAAGAACCCTATTAGCCTAGGAAACAGTCTCCAACATCCCAACGCGTTCTTTGCCTTATCGTTCATCTTCCATGTGCCGCCGGTCATTGGAAACATTGATTATCATCATCTTCTTCAATTTTCCCTATGGTAAACTTTTATTCACATTGACTTTCTTGTTTATGTTTGAGTCAAATTTTCCTACGTTGATTTTGACCGGCTAAAAGGACTAAACGACTCCTTCACCAATATACTTGTTGTTTGTATATTAATTTTAGGACTCCTAAATTTATTGTTTTTATTCTCTTTCAACAATATGTGGCATCAATTGAATCAATAAGATTGTTGACTTCACTGTTTATTTTTAATCATGATGCTATGAATTTCTTTCAAAATTTTCTTTTTTATATTTTATGGGCTTTGTAGTAAATGTAGTTATGTATAAATTAATGTGTTACATTATTTTAAAATTTGTTTTTGTTTCTCGATAGATTTTTATCAACATGACATCAAAATTTGTTACTTTCTTATGCTATCGGGACGGAAAAATTTGTGATGGGAAAGAAGGTATAACTTACGACAAGTCTCCAAGTAAAGCTATCAAGGTTCAACGTGGAATAAAATTCAATGACATGGTCAACCAAATCCATTCTGCAACGTCGATTGACAAGAAACAATATCATATTAAAGTAATTTGTAGATACCCATCGGTTGTTGGAAAGGTAATGAAATATATTCCTCTTCCGATCAAGGACGATAATGACGTTGAAATTATGTTTGATGTGCTTAGTCTTCATCAAGAACTAAGCAACATTGATCTATACTTAGAGTTTGACGTCAATCGAAATAAAAATCACATGGATATAACACCCAGGTATTAAAACTCATATTATACATCAATTTTCATAATTTTACCTTATATTGTTTTGTTGATGAACTTTTGTGAAGAATGTGGGCATTGTATAATAAGTTTGGGGCTATTTCTGCCATTGAGGAAAAGTTTATAATCTTGCCTACAGAAAAGTTTCATCTTGCTTACATATAGAATAGGACAGTACAGACCTACATGAAATTAAAAATATTCAATTTATTTTAGTTTTCCCATTTGTTTTAGTTTCTATCTCAGTATGCATTCATACAAAATGAGCAATCCATTTTAGTACATTCTTATTATTTTTTCCATCTCAATTTCGTAATTATAATTTGTTATTGTTTTCACCCACACATTTTTTTGTTACATTACTCGCAGAACACAAGAATCGGATTTGATAGAAGAAGAAAGGAACACTATTTTATCACCTACTGTGAACCTATTGATGTTGTGTCAGGCATGATTCACAACGAGGACTTCAACATAATTTCTCAATTTACCGTTGTGAACAATGGAATGAGCAGCGGATTTGACACAGACAATGAAGGATATGAAAGTGGGGATGAAATTGAAACTGAAAACCGAGGAGATTTAACTGTAGATGGAGTTGAGATACCTTCTAGTTTTAATAGTTTAGAAGGAATAGATGTGGCTAATGTTGACAATTGGACGGTGTCACACTCCGAGAGTAAAAATCATTTAACTCAAGAATTGAGTGAAAATTCTTTTAAGAATAAGGACGAACTTATTAGAGCTATCAAACTTTACACGATTAGGAAGCATCGATAATATGAAGTGGTTGAAACATGTCCAACAATTTGGAAGATAAGATGTAAGTTGTGTTCACAAACTGGTTGTAAGTGGCAATTACGTGCATGTAAACGTAAACGAAGTGGGTATTTTGAGATAACACGATACATTGGTCCACACACTTGTTTCCAGTATAGGATTACTCAAGATCATCCAAATCTGGATGCTAGCTTGATCGCTCAAGAAACTGAACACCTTATTAAGGAACAACCATCTATTAGCATTCCTACCTTGAGAGCTGAAATAATTGAGAAATTAGGATATACTCCTTCGTACAGGAAGGTCTGGGTAGGAAAACAGAAGGCGATTGAACATATATTTGGAAACTGGGAGGAATCTTATATTGTTTTACCAAAATTTATGGTTGCACTTCAATTTTACAATCTAGGGACTATAGTTGAATGGTGTACTGCTAGATTAAGTAATGTGGATCACATAGATAGTAATATGAACCAAAGGGAGAGTAGTGTGGATCAAGTGGAGTTCAGACGTGTGTTTTGGGTTTTTGCTCCTTCTATCAACGGGTTTGCACATTGTCGACCTGTTGTTAGCATTGATGCGACACATTTATATG